TTGCTATCCTGACTAAGCTGAAAGATTGAACTGCCAGATTCAGGCAGGAGAAGACAAGTTTTTTCTTGCAACATGATAATACCGGGCCCAATACCAGTTTGAAGACTGTGGAGGATATTGCCAAGTATGGCTGGACTGTCCTACCACACCCATTGGATTTGGGACCTTCTAACTTACATCTGTCCAGACCAACGAAGGATGGACTGAGTAGGTATTTTCCTAACTACACCATCATATTAGCTGTGAAACAGTGGGTCACATCTGTTGATGGAAATTTTTATGAGTGGAATGTGGGCTCTTATTCACTGCTGGTGAAAATGAACAGCTAGTGGTGGTGGCTATGTTGAAAAACAATGTTTCATAGCTGAGAATTTGCTCTATCAAACAGTGTTATTTTTCTCTTTGTTGTAGTATGTATTTCCATGGAAATAAATAGCAGGCATTACTTTCAGAGCAACCTACTGCAACATGCTGATGTCTGCCGATTTAGAAATTTAGAACTGATTAAAGACACTGAGAAAAAGAAAAAAAATGTAATGACACATGCAGTATTTCTTTGCACTAATCACAGAGCTTCCAAAACACTTCACTTGTATATTCTTTTTATAACAAAGAACAAGTTACAATTCAGTAGTAATAAAGGACTGTTACCATCATAGAATGGCTTAGATTGGAACAGACTTAAAGATCATCTAGTTCCAATCCCTCTGCTATGGGTAGGGATGCCAATCACTAGATCAGGCTGTCTAGGGCCCTCATCCAACCTGGAATTAAATTTCTTCATGGATGGGGCATCCACAACCTCTCTGAGGCTTCTCTGAGGTGATGTCCCCAGGGGTCCATCTTGGGACTGCTACTCTTCAAAATTTTTATTAATGATACAGACGGTGGGACCAAGTGTACCGTCAGCAAGTTTGCTGATGACAACAAGCTGAGTGGTGCAATTTACACAATAAAGGAAGGGATGAACCTAATGAGGTTCAACAAGGCCACATGCAAAGTGCTGCAGTTGGGTCCGGGAACTCTCAAATATGCATATAGAACTTACTGAGAGCAGCCCTGTGGAAAAAGGCTTGGGAGTCCTGTGGACAAAAAGTTGGACAAGAGCTAGCAGTGTGTGCCTGCAGCCCAGAAAGCCAACTGTATCCTGGGCTGCAACAAAAGAGGGGTAGCCAGCAGAGACAGAAAGGTGATTGTACTCATCTGCTCCACCTTTGTGAGGCATCATCTGCAGTACTGTGTCCAGGCCTGTAGCCCCCAGCATAAGAAGAATGCAGAACTGTTGGTATTAGTTCAGAGGAGGGCCACAAACAAGATCAGAGGGCTACAGCACCTTTCCTTTGAAGAAAGATTGAGCATTTCCTCTGTTCTTCATTTTGCAATTTAGTCTCATGTTATAATACTGAGCAAGATGTAATTGTTCCTGACTACAGTGTTTATTCCACCCACTATGTCTGAGACCACTGTCACTATAAAACTGTCAAGGACAGTTCCCAGAATCATAAACTGTGGTTAGATATTAAATAGCTTCAACGAGTTTTCATTTCTTTTTATGCAAATCACTTTTCTTGATATGGAAGACTTTGTTTAGAATGGCTGGAAACTGTAAGATTACGCATAAATGAGTGGGAGATGATGCTGGATATGTGGGATGTTTAATTACATATGAAGGGGAAATTACGCTGGTTTTCTTTTTCCATTTAGACAGAGGTTTGTTTAACCACTTCAAACACTTGAGTAGAAGATCTATCTACTAATTCTACAATTTTAGGTTTACCTTATATAAAGTTTTTACCTCTTCTACTGTTCCTCGAATGCTTACTGCTTCTATCATTAACCTACTGGCAGACATGATCATTGTAGAGATAAGACAATCTTCCCAGGAGTGTTTTTTACTCGTGACAACTAAGTCAAATTTCAATGTTCTAAGCACTAGGCAGTTTCATAGTTATTCCTCTGAAGCTAGAATAGAGAAGTACTTTTTTTTTCAATAATATCAATAATACATTAATTATTCCAGAAAGCAATATGTCCAGAAGTATAGACTACATTCATATTTCTAGTGTAGACTATTTTCTTTTAACCTACTAGCTTTTAAGTTCTGTTGTTATGCCCTGAAATATTTTATTGCAGAATAAAATTGTACACCCAAAAATTACAGACATGAGCTAACTGTCCAAAAACATACTGAAAATAGAACTTATAATGGGCACTAAGAGTACTATTTCATACAATTTTGAATGAAGTTAAATGTTTGTTATGGACAAATGCTGTTAAGATTTCTATACTTTTCAAGAACATTAATTGCAATTTACAAGCTCTTTAGTAAGCAATGAACTTTTCCACTAAACCAGGCAGGAGTCAAATAGGCCAGCATCAGATTAGGGCAGTAACACTCATTGGTTCAAGGTAATAAAGTGCATTGAGTTATTTTTCAATACCACTGTTTATTGAGAGCAATACTGTTCCCATAGGCCTTTCTTGATGGAGAGGTACTGGCTACACTATTAAGATGTCAGTTATGAAACAAGCAGTCTGAGACCCCATGAGAAGGTGGAAAAAAGCAGATATGCACATGGATACAAATATTCCTCCTCATTTCCAGGTATTTTAGAATATTACTATCAGAAGAAATCCCTTATTGCTAAATAAGTGTCCTTCTAAAAGGATGACATATATATCATACAAAACATTGCTAGTAATGTTAGATCAAGCATTTTGTTGAAATGCATAGTGGCAATTCTGAGATTTATTTTTAAAGGTATTTCTCAGTGGAGTAGAAAACTCAAAATCTACATAATCCAATTTGAGATGAATACAGTAGTAATTTTTTTTATTTGTAAACATGACAAAGTAGTAGTTTTGGTAAACACGTAAAAGGAGATCTTACTGCATTTGTAAGAGCTAATACAAAGAATGCAGTATATTAGAAGAGTTTAGATATAAGAAATATTTAAAAACCTGCAAGTCTTCTACAGCAATCACTACACTGAATTTGAAAGTACAAGCTGCTAGTAAAAATACATACAATAAAATAAATAATCTCATAAGCAAAATCTGAATTCTTCAATACAGATGTAGGTGATGTATTTCTAGAGTGCAGAATATCTCTCTCTCCTTTCAACTCTATTCCTTGCAGAAAAGATGCCATAGAGCTATAAAAACACATTTAAAAACTCCTAAGGGAAGGTTTCCTAGGGTCTTTGAAATTCCTCCTTTTCCTATTTCTTCACAGATTTCTAATGCCAACACTGTTTCTGTAGTTTCTCAAACAAGTCAAAAAAGAAAAATACCCTCTAGATATAATCTTTAGATTTTCTATTATACTTCTCAGGCTCCTTTTGGCTTTTGAAATAAATGCAAACCAAAATCTACAGTTGTAATATCAACTGTATTTTAATTTTAGTTAATCTTTCAGCATGAATAAGTGGATCGTATTTGACAGCACTGCTGCCCATACCTACAAGAACCATATAGGAATATGATTTAATTAATGAAATAACCTAAAAATTCTTTTCAGTTGATCATTTCTGTCACTTGTGGTTTTATTAATACAGCTGTATTCACAAAAGTATTGCTTCAGGTTCCTATCTCTATGATAAAAAGGGTTAGGCAAGGAGCTGCTACCTACCCACATAAGAAAATGCTGAAACAAAAACTATATATTCATTTTTCCCTCTTTAATCAAATACTTGAATATAATCATTCTATGATCAGATTTCCATAATTTTCACCCCAAAATCAAGCTGGATTATAGAACACTTTTTATGTAATGATTTTGATTGAGCAGTTAGGTGTTTGGCCATGGAAAAGTGAAGCTATTCAGAGGCACAGGGCTATATTATTTGGGGCGGTAAAGACAACTTTGGGCCAGGTTGTTTACCTAACTGAAAACCAAGAATTGCTCCATCACCTAATTCCTAAACTAAAAACCTATGAGATACTGGATCATTTTGGACCACATAAGTGACTAGGCATATTAGTTCAAATGGCATTTCCTGCCTATAGTTTTTTCCGGTATTATGATAAGAAAATATCAGAACATTCAATGACATTCTACCCAAAAACTATTGCACACACTGATCTCTAGAAAGCAGTGAATACCAATACAAAGAATTGTCTAGTATCAGAATCAAATCTACTCAGCGCAAGCACCTCTTATTTCTAGAAACAAGAATCTTGATTTCTGCCTGCAGCATCCCAAAATGTTAGAGTTACTAGGCTCCCTGCTGTATTATTCATTGCTTGGGATGCAATGGAAAAAACAACACCTTCCAGTGCAACCTCTCAACCATTTTTTCTACTGATATTAATACAAGGGCAGGGACCCTACGCCATAAGTTTGTGTTTTGTGCAGTGTCCTTATACTGCTTGTGCTAATTTGAATTAGTATGCTTTGTATTCAAAGTGCTCTTAGAAGTTTCAAGTTCAGCAGCTGGTAAGTACTATAGCCCTCTTTGATAATTAATATCCACAAAATGGTTATAGGTGTCAATACTTTATTCTTAAAATACTTGTTGTATTCAGCACATGCACTACTACGGAAGACTTAGAGGAAAAAGATTTGTGAAAAGGCATATGACCTTCTTCCCACTACAATGGCCATCCCCTAATTAAGCAATGCATCTGATAGTCATTAACAGGAATGAGATAATGAATCACTTTCTCTCTTCTTTGTTAATTTGCTGTAACCAAGCGGCTAATGGATGTCAGAGCTGAGTGATTGCACTGATTATAGTGATTTATAGTTGCAACAAAACAATTTAAAACCATTCTGATTATTCATGTTAAAGATGCTTTATGTTTTGTTTACTAAATGTTTTATGTTCCCCCTCATGCCCCTTCGCACACAATGAGAAAGGTCTTCCAGGAAAACTTGAAAGTTCGAAGATTTTTTATTGTTTCAGAGTAAGGCATTTCATTTTGTTTATAGAAAAAAAAGTTTACCCAGTAGAAATGAAAAGCCTTAGGGTGGAAAGAAAACTTCAGTGGTGCCTAGTTCAAAAGAAGACGGAAATAAGAGGAAATAAGGCAAACTTCAAGCCACTTACCTTAGGGCTCCCAGTCCCTTCCTCATTCTCTGCAGACACATCAGTAGCCAGTATCTCTGCTTTGATGATATCCAGAGCCCTAAGAATCCAGCTGTGTTGCCGTTTGATTTGCCTCTGTAGCTCCTTCCATTGACTTGCAATCATTTGCAGCATGTCCTTCAGTCCTTCTCCAAAATGAAGGGGAAAAAAAAGTAAGTTGTAAGCTTAACTGCATCTTTAAATATTATTCTTTAATCAAAGAAGTAGCAGGATTTTTAAATAAACAAAACAGGATATTTAGTGTATTTTCTCAGAAATGAGTACAAGCATTAGTATTGTTCACACTGTAAACAATGCTATAGGGTCAAAAAGTTCTTTCAGCCATCATTTTAAATTTTTATTATGTTTATGCCAAAGTTTTCAAGGAAAGGAAAATCCCACATAAAATGTGACTGCAATAGGAAAAGCTACAGTAATCTCACCTCCTAATATCTAATCTTTAAACATATCATGACCTACCAAATATATTTTTTCCTACCTTCATCTGTTCACATTTTCAGTAGTTTACATATTACCACTTTCTAAGTATAGCATGACGTGAAGTACCTTTCTCTGCTACAGCTTCTATAGCTTTTTGGCCTATGCATTTAAGTCAGTGATATGCTTTCACATTAGAGAGATCTGCCTGAGACTGAGAAACAATAGAGGCACAATGTGTAACATGATCAGAAAAATGCATACAAGAGGACAACCTTTGCTTCGGTGAAAAGCATGCAAAACGAAGATGGCATTACCTAGCAATACATGCTGATTAAAACCCTATTATCATACAAGTCATGCAAACATCTAAAAATACAGGGGTTGGTGGAGAAGGAGAAAGGGAT